TTGCGACTAGCAACTTTCTGCACAATTTGCTTGAGTCCTCCTTCAAATGCACAGACTCAGTTTAACGTCGTATTCACGGAGGACTCACATCACCCGACGCAACTGCATGCACATTTGACTCCGCGTACAACGGTTGCCAGGGCGCATATTCGCTAGCTTCATCGGCCTCCAAGTGACGAGGCCCACTCAGGGCCTGACCACACTCGACAGTCCATGATGCCGATGAGGACGTGATTGTAAGTGGTACCAATCTCGTCTAATGCATGTGATAAATGTGAGTTGAGAGGGTGGCGGGGTGAGCAAACAATCTGTTGCCATGCGACGGCAAACGCTACCTGTTATTGTGACTTTGGCGGACCACTGGCTTGTGCCCGCCAGGATGCTCTTCTGAACGCTTTCCAGGGATTCCAGATGTTGTCGCGAGCTGACGCCCACTTGAAAGACGTCTGCGATGAATGTGAACAGCTCGGGTCTCTCGTTCAGCCGATGCTGCATCAGCGCACGCATGGTACCGATGGCTGCCTGGGCTCGATCCTGAGCTCCATGTCGCATCGACTTCTCCGCGGCACCTGCCGACCGGTACAGAGCGATGGGAAAGCCGGAAGGTGTGTGGGTGGGTGAGGGGATAGAAGAAATTAGGCAGCTGATGCGAGGCGACCAATGTGGCCAACGGATCCAGGGGATAGCATGATCCAGAATCACAACTTTTGTCGTCGTCATTAGCAAAGGATGACAAATCGTTCGTTTATATGCAGGTCTTTGAGACCACCGGTAGATGATATAAATGAGATGTATCCACCCGATTTCGCTGAAGGTGACGAAGGACTCTTAGTTGAATTTTACTACCTTCGAATTCCACACAGACTTGCATTCACAAAAAGTAGTCTCATCCAGGCTGAAGCGAACTGTTAGTTCGACCTCGACTCAACAAGTCTAATCAGCAGCCTCAGCGAAACTCGAGCCCGGGTTGTGGTAGTGCGAGGTATAATCTCAACACGTCAACCCCTACGACAGACTGCCACGTGTGCCCTTGGCTGACAGAGCAGACATAAGGTTCAAGGAAGACCAGGTATTTTCACATATCGCATTCTGTGTTGCGATTGTCGATGAAGCAAAGTTGTATTCGCCATAGCAACCGACTACACTACTTATATCTTTTTGTAAACTAGATTTTCGAGATTACCAGTAGATAAGCTTTGTAAGAAATAGAAGTGGGTTGACCTCGTTGTCGCAACTTTGTCTTTTTGTCAAGGAGACTATGTAGAACGCACCGAGTCCGAAGTCGTCTGCCATAGTAGTTGTCATGAGTCCCAGCATCTGAAAGATGTCCACTGTCAGATGCTGGGAATCATGACAACTACTATGGCAGACGACTTCGGACTAGGTGCCTCCTGACAACAAGACCAAGTTGCGACAACGAGGTCAACCCACTTGTATAAATCGAAGGAGACTGCGACCATACCAGAGGCCACAACATCTTGGTCTTCATATATAATAATTGACCCTCATCACCCTAAGCGACCTAGGGTGAATACACCTCATTTAACTGATGCACTGGTAGCCTCGAAACTATGCTTATTTACGAAAAATAAATGATTTAGTCGATTGTTATAGCAAAAATGCGTTTGCTTCGTCGGCAATCCCACCAAAGAATGTTATTTGAAAAAAAACCTGGTCTTCCGCGAAATTCACCTCTGCCTTATGATGACCCAACGACAGTCGAGGTAATTTGTTGAGTGGTCAATGTACCAAAATTCAACTCCCGCTGCGAGTGTTGATAAAACCGACGCGAGGTTCAAACTGCAGTCAACTTCAGCCTGGATGAGAACAACTTTTAGGAAAGCAAGGCTCTGTGAAATTAAATTGAAATATCAGCTCTACTCATATGATTGTGGGAAAATTCTACTAA